TAGTTCCACATCCTTTTCTCAATGCAGTTTGAATATCTAGCAGCTACTTAAGTATTATTGCAATCATTTTGAATTATCTTCAGCAATATTGAATTGCACGTAAAATCAGTGATATTGTTTGATGATTTTTGCATTCTGTTGTGGTCACCATTCTTTGGAAAAGGCACAAATATGGATTTGTTCCAATCAGTTGGCCAGGTAGCTGTCCTCAGATTTCTTGCCATAGGTTAGTGAATGCTAATGCCTTCAGTGTACCTTGGACTTCCTCCTTCAATACCATTGGCTCGTGATCATATTCTCTCTTTTGAAATGGTTAAATATTGTCCATTTCTTTTTGGTACAGTGACTCTGTGTTCCTTCCATCTGCTTTTGATGCTTCCTGCATCATCCAGTTTTTTGTCCATAGAATCCTTCAGTATTACATCTTGAGGCTTGAATATTTTCTTCAGTTCTTTCAACTTGAAAAATACTGAGTTTGAAAGTGGTATATTTATGTCTTCAGCTATGAGGGTAGTACTACCTTTTTCTGTCTTTGCTTCTATAATTTATATAGTATAGCTTCCCAATGTTGGGTACATATACATTTATAACTGTTAAATCTTTTTGCATTAGTGACCCTTTCATCACTAACAAATCTCCGTCTTTATCTCTTCTTACAGGTTTTGTAAGATAGTAAGTCCATGCTGTGTGATATTAAGGTTGCCACTCAGTTCTCTTTAATTATTATTTACATGAATATTTTTTCCATTCTTTCAGTTTCAACCTGTTTTTGTACTTGGATATAAGGAGTGAGTCTTGTAAACAGCATATAAATGGATCTTTAAAAAAAAAAATTCATTCTACCACTCTGCATTTTGATTAGAGCATTTACTTTATATTAACTGCCATAACAGATAAGAAGTGACTTCTGCCATTAAAAAAAAATTATTTTTGTGTGTCATAAGGCTTCTTTGTCTTTTGATACTAGTTACTTTTATATTTTGCTGCTTTACTATAGTGCACGTTCTAAGTTCCCTTCTCCTTCCTTTCCTTCTTTCCTTCCTTTCTTTTCTTACTGGTTGCCATGAAATAACATTAACAGCTTGCACTTTTTACATTCTAGGTTAAGTTGTACCAACTTAACTTCAGTAACATGCAAGAAAGTTTTTAGCTCTACCATTTCTCCCCCTCTTTTTTGTTTGAAGTGTTATCACTAACTATGTTTTTTATATTTCTTTTGCCTTGTACCATAATTTAATGCTTGCTTTACATATATATATAGCATACAAATATACATAAAAATAACACATATATATTTATTATTTAAATAAACACAAAAGACAAACCATTCAGAATTACCAAGCATTGATACTTTGTACCTGGTCAATCAATTGAAAGATATTCATATCTGGGCCCATTTCAAAGGAAGTTAACCCAACGGAATGCAAAAATCATTGAACAAATATCATTAATATCATATACAAGTAAATTTTTGGTGGAAGTAACTCAAAAATTGCTACAATAGTACATCAGCAAGGAGCTGCTTTAAAGTCAAGCCTGATTCAGAAGAGGACTTGAAAGTAGGACTATCATTGCTGACATCAGATAGATTTTGGCTCAAAATAGAGATTGCCAGAAAGCTCCTCTGAAACTTGCTCATCCTGGGTGACCCTGCTGGTATTTAAAATACTGGTGGCATAGCTTCCAGCATCACAGCAACACACAAGTCTCCAGATTATAACAAACTGGCAGGGGAGTGGTGGAGGGGTTCTTTAAGCAATTGTGGCTGCAGTTGGCAAATCTGGCTATAGGATTATACAGTGTGCCTATGCAACTATCATTCACTGTGGCCATATTACAATCTGATTGATTTCTCCTTGGAATAATAGCCAGACTGTGCCCCCCCACTCCCCACCAAACAAAACCCCCAAATACAGGATTTAAAAGAAAGAACAATTTTGCCTGATTAGTAACATCTGATAACCTATAGAAAGAACCCTGACTATGACTTTTCAGTACTTGATTATTAAAATTTGGTGTGTTTATGAACAGGGAAAAATCAAAATTATTCTTTGGTCTGAGATCTAGTTTGCTTTCCATGGATCAGTAATGAAACAAAACATAATATTCAAAATTGGATCTGTATGAGTATGTTTTTAGAGTTACACTTGACAGTGTGGAACATGAGAAATCACTATAGCATTCACAATTTTAAATAAGAAAGTAAAAATACATTCACTAAAAGAACAAATAGGAACTAAATACTATGGTGGTGGTGGTGGTGGTGGTAGAGTCGATTCTGACTCATAGCATTGGGTTTCTGAGGCTGTAAATCTTTAAGGGAGTAGAAAGCCTTATCTTTCTCCCGTGGAACAGTTGGGAGTTTGGAACTTCTGACATTGAGGATAGCAGCCCAACTTGTAACCACCATGATACCAGAGCTACTAATATACTATAGAGAGTCACATATTTTCCAAATTAGCAATATCTTAGTATTACCTTACTCTATGTAGAAGAATTGATGCTTTTGAGTTATGGTGTTGGAGGAGAATATTGAAAGTGCCATGGGCTGCCAAAAGAACCAATAGATCTGTGTTGGAA